TTCAGTTCATTTGCCCACCTCACATCCCCCCCAGCAGAGAGTTCTGATGTTTGTGGCCCGAGATGGTTCTGAGGCCTCTGCAGACTTCACCAACGTTGTTTTGCTGAAGCTGGTTCTCCGTCTTCTGACTGTAGCTGTCCTTCCCATTCCTTATCAGTCCTCCATTAGATGAATACAAACCCAGTATGTGCTCTATCCCTCGTCTGCACGCTGTCCTGTCCATCCTGCTCACTCCCATCCCCATCTCTGACTCTCGGTGCTCCCACCACTCTCTCCCAATAACTCTGTCTTCTGACCTCCATCCTGCTGACAGCAGTGAACCCCATGATGATCCTGCTAGCGTACTCTGTACTCCAGCGTGGATGTCAGGTTAAATCCACCTGCAGCATTCCCGGCCTTGCTTCCCTTCCTCCTGGTGCCCCAGTGGAATCACTGGCTTTGCCCTTCTGTCAGGTTTTTACCAAGTAGTTGATCAGGTCACACAAAGAGTGAATGAACCCCCCAAACGTGCACATCGGAGACTGTTGAAAGGTTTGCTTCTGCTCTGTGACTCAAATGTTCTCCAACTTTGTGTGTTTAGTTTGCTCTTAGGCTGCTGGCGTTCCGTCAGATTCACAAAGTTTTGGGAATGGACCCTCTACCGCAGATGAACCCTCGCTTCAGCATCCGCAACAGCCGGAAGCGTCGCCGTGACAACAGCGATGGCACAGACAGCTTTGAGGGCGAAGGCAAAAAAGACAAGAAAGATTACGACAGTTTCTAAGCTTGCGTTATGAATTGAATCTACATACCAGCTGTACTAAAATGTCGTATGCTCGTCTCCTGTGTACTGGCTTCTTTGTTTTTAAGCTCCAGGTGTACCAGCCTAACCACAGCCTGACTTTGTATGACACACACGTGTATTGTTTTTAGTTGTAGATTTCTTACCGTGAGGGCTGAGGACTCTGTGCTAGACGGACGTTTTTACCTGACGTGCTTCTTACAAGAATGAATACAGCAGAGCTTGTGTCACTGCTCCCCACCTGTGTGTTTAAAGTGGAGCCGGACTGAACTGTAATGTGGGTCAGAAGGAAGCGTGAGGAGAAATATCAATGCCTTCATTCATCTGTACAGTTGCATCCAGAGCTGGTCTGTTTTTGTTGTTATTGTGAACCTTTTATTTGGCCAACAGATATGTCAACGTTCCTGTATTCCTGTGCTTAATGCAAGTGCTGTTTGATGCTGTGGTCTTGTTACGTTTCAATGCTAATCTACACTTCAGATGAAGACCTATGGGATGCAGCAGGCTATGAAGAATATTTCAGTGTTGATATACCTTTGTTAGTAGTGACGTTGTAAGCCCAGGTATGTAGTTTTGTCTATTCATTTGCATATATAATAAGTATTTGTGTAATCTATAGATGTAAAAAGACAAGTTTTGATTTGTGGAAAAAGTGGCTACGTTAACACTGCCGACTGTTCTGGCTTTTAAATTAGTTTTCTTGTGTAATGGGGATTGTATTGGCTTGCTTGCCTCATACCTTGGTTAGGTGCTAAATCAGTTTTGTCCTGAGGAAAAGGAATAAAGATTATTACTGACTGAG